TTTCTTGCTTTCTGTCTCTCTGTCTCTCTCTGTCTGTCTGGCGAGCGCACGCGCCCTATAGCGAAAACCTCTCAAAAAAAACCCAAACCAAACCAAACAAAACAAAAAACGGGGCGGGGGGGGGGATCGCCTTCCTCGCCCTTCCCCTCTTGGTGACTGCTATTCTCTATCACCCGCTCAGCCAGCTCTGGTAAGAAGTTTGCACAGATGGTCTCAGTTCCTCCTGCCTTACGGCAGTGAGGAGGGAGCATTATCTCCGATTTACAGACAAGAAAACCGAGGCATTGACAATGGACCAGAGCGTGAGAGATAGAAGCACTGGCCTAAGGCCTCAGAGCTGGAGCAGGTGTGGGACGCCCGCCTTGCCCCCACACCACCCCGTACACAGCCGATGCTAAATAGTCTCTGGGCAAATGCTGCATTGGGCACTTGGAGCTTTCTGGGCAGCCAGTGTCCTAAGGACTTTCCCCATGTCACCTGGAATGCCACCATTAGCAACCAGGTCTTTTAGGCATTGAGGAGTACAAAGTGCTGTTTCCCTTTAAGGAGATCAAAGTAAGTCTGTGTTGGGTTTGCCCAGGGGTTTGATTGGCTGAGAGTGGGGTGGAGTGGGGCGGGGTGGGGAACTGGGGCAGAGCCAGGTGGGGTGAGGGTGTCCCATTCCTTCTGGCCCGGCCTCTCCTGGAGAAATCTGAAGATGCGTCTTGGCAGGAGGCTGAGGGTGACACGGTAGAGGTGGGTGGCAGGGTGGCTATGCCTCCTCTCTGGCTCCAGCCTCTGGAAGAAGCTCATGAGGTGCCTCTGGGTTCCCAGACTCAGGCACTGACCCTTTCTTCCCCACGGTGGACCCCCAGATGCTGCAACATGATTGGAGGAGGCAGGAAGGAGGGCCCAGGGGTTCAGGCTTGGAGGCAAGAAGGATCCAGACCTGGGACTGGACAGTCCCTGTACTTGAGGGTGCATGAGCTAGGTTGGCCAGGAGTCCCAAGGACAGCCACACCAGCAGAGAGCTGGCTTCCTGGGGCCAGAAGGAGACTAGAGCACGCCAGCCCTTGGCACAGGCAGGGCTCAGTTCTAGACCCTTCTCCAGGGACAGTGGGTGTCTGTTTTAACCCACGTTCCCTTCCGTTTGGTTTTAGAGGCTGTTTGAGTTTGTCACTGTAGCTCTTGCAGCTAAAAGGGGTGAGAGAGCTGGGGGCGGGGGGCATGGCCTAGTAGCTTCTCCTCCTGAGGTGAGCACCAACCCCAAGAGATGTTTTGGGACAAACAGGGCCATTTTCAATAAGTAGATTTGGACAAGCCCAGCCCCATTGCCTAGTGGTTAGGGGAGCTACATCCACAGGACTGACTGCAGTTTGAATCCCAGCCCTAGCCAGCTTGAAAAACACACTGGACTTGTGAGAGCACATGCCCAAATCCTGATGGGCAGGAGGAGGAGTGCAGGAAAAGCATTGTGGTATGGCCAGACCCATGGTGAGGATGTGAGCTCTCTCGCTCTCTCTCTGTCTCTCTGTCTCTCTCGGAAGTGCACACAGCTTCTGGCAATGAAAAACAGAGTGGACGTGGAGAAAGGGCCCACTCCAGCCCTTCAGCAGGCAGTCACGAGGCCCGTGACCATATTAAAGGTCCTGAAGAGTTCTGCGGCTCAGAATGCCCATTTGCTTTGAGCTAAGGTGCTGTTTCCTTCTCTCATTCCGTCCCAGGCACTTTGAACTCTCAGACGTGCTGGGTAAAGGCATCCCTCTCAGAGCCCGGAGGCCCCTGAGAGGCCATGTCTGACTGTGAGCCTTGGAGCGGTGGAACATGGAGGAGAAATACTAATTCCCTCTGGGGGCTTCAAACTTGGGAAGGAAGTCCAAGGACACGCCAAGGCTAGGAAGGCTTGGACGGGGAGCCTGGAACGGGAGCTGTTCTTCCCAGACGGCCCAGGGACAGAATCCGGCCTCCGTCTGAGCAGCATCCTGCCTGTGAACATTCCCACTCGTCCCGCTCCTTCCATTGGTCAGTGTTCCTTTAAGGAGCGAATGCTGTTTGTTCTCAGCTCATTTGGGGTCCTATAACCTTCAAGCTGGCACAGAGTCCCCGCAGGAGGCAGGAGAGCAGAGGGGTGTGGGGTGCCCCAAACACCTAGAAGTTCACAAATTGAGGGGAGCAGGGAAGCACTTGACTCTCTGGACTTCTGGGGCAAGGAGGGCTGGCTTGGAGATCCAGGGCTTCCAGAACAAGCCCCTGGCACCATGCCTGTGTTGGGCCCAGGTTGTCCATGGGTACTGAGTCTGGCTCCTCCTGTGTGGTCTGGTCCCTACTAGACGCCCACGGGCCGCACCATCATGCGGGTGGCGCGCAGCGAGTAGCTGGGGCCCTGGAAGTAGTGCCAGCGGATGCCGTTGAGCTTGCGTGCGTGGTGGCGAGCCGGGTAGTAGATGCCGTTGAGGTTGGAGAGGCCACAGGCATCGAACCACCACCCTGGCAAAAGAGGGAGGAAGGAGGCTTGGAAGAGGGCACCCGGCAGCTGAGTGAGGGCAACCTCTGTACCCCAAAGAGAACAAGGTCTAGCCAGGGAGGGCTGTTGTGTCCTCCGGGAAGCCAGCTCCTGGAGACAGGGCTGGGTGGAGACAGGGGACTCCAGGCTCTTAGCACAACCGGGGACTCTGAGGGGTGGCTCTGCACCCCTCAGATTCCTCTGTCCATCCTGGCCCCTCCGGATCCCTGCCTTCTTCCCTGGCTGGCCTCCTATATCTGCCCTCCCCAATGACATCTCCACACCTCCCTCCCCAGGGGTCTCTGTCATGCCCTCCCATGCCAGGCTCATCTCTTTCTTTCCTGGTGTCCCTGCACTTAGGTCTGTCTCTGTGTCCTCCAACAGCACTCGCCTCTCTCTGATGGGCTCGGTCGCTCACATCCTGGGCCCATCTCTGGACTTCCCTGGGCTGCACTTCTCTCTCCATCTCTGCCTCTATTTCTCTGTCCTGTGGAGCCCTCTGAACCCACTGCTCTGTGCCTGTGTCAGTGGGGTGTCTCTGCCTTTGTCTGTCCCTGTCTCTGTCTCTCACTTATCCCTGGCTCCTACTTGCTGATCTCTGTCCCTCTCATCAAGGAACACTGCCTGAGCCAGAACTGGGGGTGGGGGGATGCCTCTCTGCTTTCCCTGGTCTCCCTGACCCATCCTGCTTGGTCTGCAGGTGGGGAGTCCTCAGGCTTGGGGTTAGCCTTGACCTGGCATCGTGCCACCTGGGGGCCCCATCCACAGGTTCCTCTGGGGAAACCGATGGTGACAGATTCAAAAGGACCCTGGTAGGGCCCTTGAGAACCTGTAGAGAAGGTAGTGATGGAGCCCAGCCGGGCAAGCCCGTGGGTGGGTGAGGCCCCGATCTCACACCCACCTCCAGACAGCATCTGGGCACACTTGCAGAGGCAGTTGTCGTTGTCTGCGTCGCGGGTGCTGAAGTTGGTGCCTTGCAGGACCAGGCTGCTCTGGCGCCCCGCTGAGCCACTGTATCCACTCAGAGAAAGCCTGGAGGCCGCCGGGAGGAGGTGATTGGAGAGGGGGCCGAGTTGAGAAAGGGCCTCCCCAGGGACTTTGTCCCAGGCTGGGTTTCCCCTCCAGTTGTTGCAGTGAGCCCCACCTGGGTGGGGTGCTTGGGCCATTGCCCTCCCCACCCCTACTGCTTCCCAGGGACAGAGCACCTACTCGGTGCTGGGCTCCCCCATCTCACTGAAACTGAGCCTTGGGGAGGAGAGAGAATGATCATGATGGTGATCATGAGGACAACGGCTAACATTTCCTTGAGCAGCTACTGTGTGCCAGGCATAATTAACACACTCCCATTTAATCCTCACGACCCCCTATCATTCCCAGTATACACACGAGGAAACTGAGGTCCCAAGAGCCAAAGAAACCTGCTCAAGTTCTCAGAGTGGGTGAGGGCTGAGCTGGATTCCGGCCTCGTGTGGCTGACTTGGGAATCAATGTGTGTTTTGCTGCCCAAATATCCATTGTGCAATTCCAGCCCCACCACACCTCCTCACAACCACCCACCTCTTCCAAGAAGCCTTTCCTGATCACACCAGCCCACACAGATCTGTCCCCAGGGCACTCCCAGCTCTGCAACTTTGACATTGACAGCCAGCTTGGGGAGGGTTTATTTCTATCTCTGAGCCTGGTGCAGGGGGCGGGGGGACACATCCTAGTCTTCTCAGTGATCATGACCGTGAGCTCTGGGAGTGGAACACTTAGATTCAAATCCCAGCTCTGCCACAAGCTGTGTGACCTTGGGGAGACTGCCTGACTTCCCTGAGCCTCAGCGCCTTCCTCCATGCAGACGGTAACACAGTGACGTGCATGGCGACATTTGTGATTGTGCGCAGGCGTTGGTGGAATGTGCGGAGACCAGGGCTGATGCAGGAGGAGTGCGCAGGACATTGTGTGCTTGTTATTTGGCCCTTGGTACGTGGCCGAGCCTGGCTGCAGAGAATGCGGGGTGCTTGTAGGAGGGGAGGGGGGAGCTGGTTTGGGAGCAATTAAGAAGGTCCTGCTGGGTGGAGGCAAGTCTCTGGCACATGCGGCCAGGGTGGTTCCAGGAAGCTCTGGTCCCCCAGGGCAGGGTCTGGAGATGCCCCTAGTGGGAGGCAGAGGGCATGTGGGCCTGGGCATGTGGCTGGCGCAGTCCCCGTCCCCTCACCCACGAGTCGTCTGTCTGTACCCATCAGGGTCCAGATGGCTGTGACCAGCTATGGAGTTCTAGCTGTGCCCTTAGACACGTCATGCTGGGTTCATGCGGCGGTGCTGCAAAACCCACCGAGAGGAGGCCTGCCTGGCCAGGGGCTCCTGTGGTGGGGACAGACAGGGTGGCCCATCTGCTTACATGGGCCTGGTTTCTCCTTGTGGCCACTGAGGCTCCCCTCGAGGCTTCTGTAATGTCAGCATAAGCCAGCCTCAGGACTTGGGGTGAGACTCGGGTGACATTTGAGCTGGGGTTGGAAATCACCTTGACATGAGTGACAAAGGTGACTGGTCTCTTGGGGTCATTCTGGCAACACTGTCCCTCTCCTGTCCCCAAGTCCTCAGCTTAGGCTCTGCATCTCGCCTCCTTGGTGTGCCAGAAAGGGGACCTATGACTTCTGGGGGATCCCCAGCTCACAGATCAGGAAACCCCACCTGACTCACTGTTCATGCACTTCAAGCATGCTCATGGCTCAGGCCTGGGGAAAACCCAAACAAACACGTGAGTCTCTTGGGGATTCCCAAGTGAGACGCACAGACGTGTTCTGGGTCTGTGGATCTGGACGTGAGTCCACATCTGCCTCTCTGTGCCCGTGCGTACGTGTGTGTGTTGGTTTTGAGTCTGCCCTGGAACATCTGCTGTGGGCCTGAATGTGAGCTCTGGGACCTATTTTGTACCAGGGATCGTGTGCGCACACTTGGTGTGCTTGTTTGTGTAGCCATGTACTTGTGTGTGTTGTATGTGTGCATTCTGTGGGCCCAAACGTGTACCCTAGGAGCGTGCTGAGCCCCCCACAGTACATGAGTGTCTGAGTGTGTCACTGTGTGTCTCCGACTCGATCTTGCACTTGTAATGGGGCCTGGGTGTTGGCTGCCTCTGGGAGGCCTGTGTGTGGTGCAAGGTTTCTTTGTGTGCCTGAGCCTTGTCTGTGCCCACCTCAGGCCTCCCTCTGGGCCACTCCAGCTGGGCTCCAGAAGGTCCCCGTGGCTGTCTGACAAATAGGGTGCCCCTCCCCCAACACCCCTGTCCAGTTGCTGATTGCCCATGCCTAACTGCCTCTGAGCTTCCCGGTGGGGGTCTCTCCACCTTACCAGCTGGTCGGCCCTGGAGTGTGGGGGGCACGGAGGGCGGGGGTAGCATCTGTTCTCACTCTCCCTCTGGCCCTTTTCTGGCAGTTTCTAGGTCCCCCTGTGGTTTCCAGGGTCTGCAACCCTAGTCTCCTGGGCATTTTCTGAATGAGCAAATGCTCTTCCTTATGATCCCAGAAACCTTTGTCTTGCTCAGGTTTGAGGTGTGGGTGGACCAGTTTGGGGTGACTGACCTTAGAAGGATGTCAACTCTGCCTTTTTTCAACCCCATTGCCGGGGTGCCCTTCCTGTCCTCTCTTTGAAGAATGCCCTCATTACAGGCCTCACCTATTCCAGGGTGAGCTCTCTGCACCAGGATCTCCAGGTCCCCTGTGCTCTGCACTTGGGTCGCTTCTGTCTCCCTGGGGGTGTGGGGTTACCTGCGGACTGGTTACCCCCAGACACATTAAACTAGACGGAACAACTTGGAGTGGTGGGGCCCCAATGACCAGTGATAGCGTGTGCTTGGCACAGGGCAAGTGATAACTATACTGTTTGTTATTACTAATTACAAGAGGGCATGTGTACTCTCACCAGAGAGAGACAGAGAGAGAGGGAGAAAGCACTCCTTAATGGAGCATGGTTATGTCACAATCCCTTCCCTGCCATTTCTCCATTCTGGTGGGATTTTGGGCATGCCATGCAGGTGCACATGCCTGGGTAGGGATTGGAATGCCTGTTGGCCATGTGGGATCTGGCTCCCTTAACCACTAGGCTATGGGGCTGACCTGCCTATTATATTTAGGGCTTGGTGGAGGGTCAGGTTCATGTGGGCCCTTTGGGTCCTGGGCAGTCTGGAGCCGTAAGCAGGGAGCTCCACTTGGCTAGGTTGAAAAGCCAGTGCATCAGGTTCACATATGAGAGCGTGGCCAAGGGTCTGAATCTAACGCCGTACATGTGTGCATAGATGGACGTAAGCATGTAGATATATACATAGATGCAGAAGTGTTTCATCTCTGTCTTTGAATATATCTTTTGTATATCTCCAGCTCTCACCCAGCACTTACCCTATGTAAAGCACCTTAGCATGTATTCTCTCACTATGGCCCAGAGCCTATATTTATAGGTGGGGAAACTGAGGCACAGAGGGGTTAAGTATCTTATCTAAAATCATCAAGTCAGTAAGTGACGAGTCAGAATTCATCTGGCTCTATGGCGTGTGTTCTTCAGTGCAATAAGATACTTCATCCAGATTTTCTTTCCTAGACAAATGGCAGGTATTGCATGTAGGGCCACAGAAGCTGCTGTCCAAGAACTGGGGCAAGGAGATGAGACCTATTTGCTACACACGTAGGAAAGACGGGGGAGGTTACCTTGGCTTCCTTTTATGTATTTCCCATGTGCCGGGCACTGGCGATGTGAACAGCAGTGGACACGACAGGGCTAGTCTGGTCACGTGGAATAGACCAGCCACGGGTGTGAAGGCTGCCCCAGGGAGCCTTGTAATATTGTAATATTATTTGCTAAATGCTTTCTATGTGCCAGTGCTGTGATGTTTTATGTGCAGTGTCTCGGTCAAGTCTCATAACACTGTGGATGAGGTACGTATGCCTAGGGCACTCCTTTCACATAGGAGCAGAAGGAGGGTCTTGCTCAGGGTCACTCAGGGAGATGGGATGAAGTAGAGACCTAAGTCTTAGCTTTGGTGGTCAGTGGCTTAAACAGGAGCCAGCAGGGTGAGGTGGCTACTCGCTGGTCAGCTGGGAGGAGCAGGGGCATCCAGCTCAGCCCTGCCCAGCCCAGTCCCAGGGAATGTTCTTCAGCTCTGAACCTTGCACTGTAAGGAGGAACATTAGCAGGCTGGGTGGATCACAGAGGAAGGTCATCAGAACCTCCTAGCTGGAGGAAGCAGGGTCATTTAAAAAGAAAGGAGGGGTGTGGGGGCTCACCACTGAGAAGCCCCAGAAATGCAATTAGGCATAACGTGCAGGAGGACAGAGAGTCACTCAGAGATCTCTCACCAGTGGAGGTATTCTAGCATGGCTTGGATGATGGCTGTGGCTGTGGAGGGCATTCTGGAACCGAATGAAGAACCCCACAATATGGAGGGTCCTTTGCAGCCTTGTGAGTGTGAGTCTATGCATGTAGTTCTACCTAGGTCCAAAGATAGCCTGGGCCCATGCTTATCTTCAAGATCCTTTAGTTTCTCAGAAGAGCAACATCCCTTTGAGAAGACACCATGAGTTATAGCAATAGGGAGACCTATGTTCAATCCAGGCTCGACCTAACTCGACACCTGGGCAGGATACTTAAGCTCAGTGCCTTATTAATAAAGAAGGCTCAGTAAAGCCTATCTCAAAGTGTTGTAGGGAGGCACAAACGGAGGGATGTGCTTCGGAGATAGCAGGTACTCAATAAATGCTCATTCGTTTTCCTGAACACCTCAGGAACCAGGCTGTAGAAGGGGAGGTTTGGTGATTTTTACCATACTTCATAGATAAGCCCATCCTGCAGCTGAGGAAGCAGAGGCATGGAGAAAGCAGACCTTGATCTGCTCAAGTTCACAAAACAAGCTGGAGCAGAGCCAGAATGGGCCCAGGTCCCCTGACGTCCCTGTCCAGGGATCTTTCCACCTCATCCCAGGGCATAGGACAGGCTGGGCAGGTCATCTCTTCCTTCTGGATCTCTGCACAATGACCTTGGAAGGCCCCTTCCCACTCCCGGGGTTGACTGCATCAGCGACATTCTCTCCACTCCACCCAGTGGCCAGGATGTGCTGAGTGCTAACCAGCCGCCTCCAGATCCCGTGACGTGCACCCAAATGGGAGGCAGATGGGAGAATGGGAGACGCCCAAGGACTGACCCGTGGTGTAGATGCTGAGCCACCAGCCAGCGACCCCAGCCCACCCACCGGCCTGGGCCCTGAGCCTACCTGTAAAGCTGCCCCTCGCTGCCCAGCTGGAAATGCTCATACTGGGCGTAGGCCTCATGGCCTTCCCAGTCTTGCAGCTCCACACGCAGGGAGTAGGCTGCCCCACTGGTGAGCTGGTGCACCACCTCGTTGCCCAGCCAGTGCTCTCCGGCTGGGTCGCCGAAGCCCTGCAGGGAATGAAGGGTGAGGTGGGCTGCCTGCTGAGGGGGGAGGCTACGCCCCAGGCTGAGAAGCTGGGCTGGGCTGGGCTCCTGGGCCATTTGTCCAAACCACTGTGCCTAATGATCGAGTTCATCAGTACAGTGTGGGCAGACACCACCTTGAGGAAGACTAAGACTTTTGTAAATGTGAAAACCTGATTAAAAACAATTGAAACCACATTTGTCTGAAGTTCAGCAATGACAGAACAAATCTGTGGTGATGAAAATCAAAATAGCAACTACATTTGGAGGAGTAGGGACTGGGAGGAGGCACATGGGGCTTCTGGGGTGCTGGAAGGGCTGTGTATCCAGCTCTGAATGGCGGTCATGTGGGTGAATACACATATAAAAATTCTCTGAGCCTTACTCTTGAGATTTGCACATTTAGCTGCATGTTAAAACTCAAATAAAAAAAATTTAAGTAGATGCATAAATGGTAAGGCAAACTTTGCTCGGTGACAGCAGTCATTGCAAAATCTTAACCCCCCGGAAATGCCAAACAGAGTACTGAGAGTGTCTTGTCCCACTGCCCTGGGCCAGAACGACATTCAGCACCAAGGACAGGGCACATCGGATTCCCCACTCCCCATTTTGTTCATGCCGAGGAGCGACCTAAGGTTAAGACGCTGTCTCTTGCCACTTAAATGATTATCTAAACTTCAGTTAGTTCAGGCCAGCAGGTGGTGTGGTGGTGAAGGGGCTGCATTCCCACATGGCTGACCAAGGTTTAAGTCCTGGGTCTGGTGGCTTGAAAAATCACAACAAATAAATAAGTAAATAAATAAATATTTTAAAAAACCCTCCAATTGGTTCAAGATCACTCATGACTTAATTTGTGTGTGTGTGTTTTAAGATTTTTGCCATAGGGTGTGTGTGCTTACCAGAGAGGAAAGAGCGAGAGACAGTGAGAGGGAAAGTGAGAAATCACTTGCTGGGGAGATGGCCATGCCACAATCCCTTCTCCATTCTCCTCCTGGAATTGTGGGCACACAAAGATGTGCGCCTGGTGTAATTTTTAAGCTGCCAGGTCTGGAACTAGAAGTGCAGTTGGCTATGTGGGAGTCTAGTGTTGTAACCACTATGTGACCTGCGGGCCCAATTAGTTATTTTTTTTTTTAAAAAAAATAAGTGTCAAATGAACAGCAAACAGACAATATTATATTGTGGGTAACCTTTTCTATTTCTTTTGCTTTGAAAACTTCGAGTTTTTTGAAATCGGCTTGCTTAAAATCTTTTTTTTTTTGGGGGGGGGGTGTTTCGCTATAGGGCGCATGTGCTCGCCAGACAGACAGAGAGAGACAGAGAGACACAAAGCGAGAAATCTCCCCCCAGGAGGGATGGCCATGCCACAATCCCTTCTCCTCTGTTCTCCTCTGGGGATCTTGGGCACGCACGCACATGCGCCTGGCGTGAGTTTAAGCCACCGGGTCCAGGATGCGAACTGCAGTCGACTACGTGGGAGCCCAGCGACATAGCCATTACGCTAACTGCTGGTCTCCTTAAAATCTTATTTTTAAAAAAGATATTTTCGCCATAAGGTACATGCCCTTGCTAGAGAGATACAGAGTGGGAAATCACCCCCCGGCGAGGATGGCCATACCTCAATCCCTTCTCCTCCATTCTCCTCTCAGGATCTTGGGCACACATGCACATGTGCCTGGCAAGAGTTTTTTCAGTCACCAGGTCTGGACTTGAACAGTAGTCGACTACGTGGGAGTCCAGCGACATAATCATGCCATCTACTGGTCCCACCAAAAATCCAACTCAGATTTAAGAAATTGGAAGCTAATTGGGCACAATATCTCATCTTGTAAAATACACAGGTTCTTGGGGCCTGAAATTCCATATTAAAGACTCTCTCCTGCAGATGTAGTCACAGATGTGTGAAAATACAAATTCACGTAAACAATGCCGTCTTGGTGGGTGGGTGAGACGTTCTTTCCTGTCTCTTCCTGCATGTTCTTTAAAAATTGTTTTTAGCACTGGGGCCAGCTGATGGCATAAGGTTGCATTGCTAGACTCCCACGGGATCGACCACGGTTCGAGTTCCAGACTCTGCAGCTTAAGACTCATGCTGGTGCATGCATGTGCATGCCCAGGATCCCAAACGAGAATGGAGAAGGGATGGTGGCATGACCATCCCCTCTGGAGGATGACTTCTCACTTTCTGTCTCTCTGTCTCTCTCTGTCTCTCCAGTGAGCACATGTGCCCTATAGTAAAAAATCTCTCTCTAAAAAAATTGTTTTTAGCATTTATATGTATTATCTTTTCTGAAAATTAAAATAGAAACAAAGTTAAATTTTCATTCTTAGGATAGACGTCAACAATTTGAAAAAGAGGGTTCAATTTCAGATGATGAGATCCTGGAAATTGAATGTGCACTAGACAAATTGGTTGGTTTTAGGTGAGCTTTTTTTTTTTTTTTTGAGGTGGGTGGAGAGGCAAGCCAAGACTTCACCCTCAACCGGGTGGGGGGGGGGGAAAGCCAGTCCCTCACCCTCAACCCAGCCCCAGCCCCAGGTTTCTGCCCCAGTTTTCAGGGCTGAGAAGCCCTTCACTAGGGCAGCACTAAAAGGATTACCTGTTTGTAATCCTTCCAGTTTCGCTGGAAATTCACACTGCCATTCTCACGGCGCTGGATGAGGGTCCACCCGCCTCCATTGGCTTCCATGTCACAGAACACCTGGAAAGAATGGGGGCAAGGAGGCAGATGGAAGTCCTTGGAGGCAGCTAGGAGTCGGGTCAGGTCTAGATTGGCCCAAATGTGACTTGGCTAATGCCCCTCCCTCCCTTCCCCCCCTCCCCCACCCCTGAGCAGCAGGGTATCCTGATGATCAAGGGCATCAGAAAGCTCAAGGGTCTCTAAGTTCCCACACGGAGGAAGCCCAGGTCCTGCCCTCAACTGTAAGGGTATATACACTACGTGTACACTGGAAACGAACTTCTCTGTGCTAAGCCCCTGGAGTTTCGGGGTTTATTTCAGCTAGCGTCACTTTAACCAACACAGAAATATTTTCTGTACCTCCAATTCAAAGCACCTCCGGAAAAGATGCTGGTGAAGGATGCACTTCCAACTTTGGAAACTTTTGCTTAAGCCCATGATCTGGGGGGCAGCAGGTGGCATAGTGGTTGAGGTACTGGACTCCTACATGGTTAATTGTGGTTCGAGGCCTAGACCCAGTGACATGAAACTCATGCTGGGTGAGTGTGTGTGTGTACCCAAGGTCCCAAGAGGAGAATGGAGGAGAAGGGATTGCAGTGTGGCCATCCCCTCTTGGCAGGGGGTGAGGGGGTGGGGGGTGGGGTGATTTCTCGCGTTCTATCTCTCTGTCTCTCCAGTGAGTGCACATGCCCTATTACTAAAATCTCTAAACAAAACAAAACAAACCTCCCTCCTACAATATGACCCCTAGCTGGTGGGGTTTAGAAGGCAGAGCCACTCTCCCTTCTCTGGTATCTCAGTTGTTAGGCAAAACCTGATCCTGAATGGAATGCCCTGGGCCCAGCATGCTCTGATGGCCTCAGTCCCCAGGGACTGCACTCACCTTCTTGGGCTCTGTCATATTGGCCACATGGATGGTGTAGACACCACTGGTGTTGGCCCCGAAGCGCTGGATCTCTGCACAGTCCTGGAACACCTGCTCAGCTGTCCTCACCGAGGCTGCAGTGGGACAAAGCAAAAGTCAGCTGGAGGTGAGCAGGAGAGAGGGAGGGGACCAGAGGACACTCCTGCCTGCCCTGTGGCAGCTTCTGGGTTGGGAGGTGCTGGGGACAGGGAGATGAACCAGACCCAAGAAGGCTTTCTAGAGGACTGGGGACCTGGACATTGAGTCCAGGTGGAGAGAGGGAGAGGGTTCCAGGCAGAGGCAGCAGCATGTGCAAAGGTGCCAACGTGGGACTGGGCCTGGCATGTGCAAGGGACAGGGTGTGGGAGGGGCACTGAGGTTGAGGCAGGGACGGGACCATGAGTTGAGGCCAGAGGGAGCTCTGGCTGTTTGATGACGCCAAAAGGGCAGGGCAAGGCTGGCACAGTGACGGCAAGGAGGGAAGAGAAGAGACAGAGGCTGAGATTTTGGCAGGGCCAAGTCAGCCTTGAGTGCCAGAACGTGGAGCCCAGGCCGTGGTGAGGAAGAGTGCTCTGGCCAGAGTGCAGAGAGGGGACTGGAGGGGTGCGACTCAGGCTGAGAGGCCAGAGGGGCGGTTGCCAGAGTCTCCCAGGAGAGAGTAATTTGGGCCTGAACCCTGATAAGGTATATGCCAACTCACAGACCAGGAAACAGAGGCCCGCGAGTGGGCTAACAGACCCAGGCACACCCAGTCAGGTGGGGCAGAACCTTCCCTCTTTGGGGCCCCCTTGGGTGGGAACACTGGGCTCCCCCCATAGTCCACACTTTGAACTGCATCTCCCCGCGGCCCTGGTAGGGGCCCCTCGTTCGACTTTCCCTGCTTGTTGACCACTGGTCTTAAAGGACCTGCCTGGATTTCTTCCCTTTGGGTTGCACAAGATCAGGAGAGGTGTTTTTCTTTTTCTTTTTTTTTTTTTTCTCACCCCGCACCAGAGGTTTTTGCTACAGGGTGCGTGCGTTTGCCAGAAAGACAGAGAGAGACAGAAAGCGAGAAATGACCCCCCAGGGGGGATGGCCATGCCGCAATCCCTTCTCCTCCATTCTCCTCTCGGGATCTTGGGTATGCATGCACACGGCCCGGCGTGAATTCAAGACGCCGGGTCTGGGACTCAAACCGCGGTCAACTACATGGGAGACCAGAGACATAGCCATTACGCTAACTGCTGGTCCCAGGAGAGTTTTTTCCAAGACTGGGACTCACCACATTGTAATCCTCCTGCCTCAGCCTCCAGCTATGACTATAAGCACATACAACCCCACCTGGCTCTTTTTCAGACAGGGTTTTTTTAAAATGATATTTTAATTTAACTTTGTTTATTTAGTTATTTTAATTTGACCAGAGAAGGCCAAAGTGAGAGAGAGCAAGAGAGAGGGAAAGTGAGAAAGCAAGCCACCAGGTCCGGAACTTGAACTGCAGTCGGCCATGTGGAAGTTCAGTGCCCTTAACCATCATGTCACCTGCTGGCCCCTAGACAGGGTTTCTATGATGTCCAGCCTAGCCTCGAGCTTGTGATCCATTAACCTCAGCCTCCTGAGCTGCTGAAATTACAGGTGCAAGCCACCACAGTCCTGGGTCTCCACTGAGCATATAAAAGTTTGGGTGAACAGACTGCTTTAGTGAATGCCACTTTTATACTGCACACAGGTTAGGCCTGTCTACCTGTCTCTGTCCTTCTAACCTTCTGAACCGAATTCTCCCATGCCTGGAGACAGTGGGAGACTTGACCCTCTGCTTCCACCAGCCTCCACTTGTCCAGGACAAAGCAGTGCAGAGAGCTGTGGTCCCCTCCTGACAGGCTTCAAGGATGTCTGGTTCCTGTGCCCGGTTCCACCCACCTCTATGTGCTAGACCTGGTGACTAATCCTGCTTCCACCGTCTCCATCGAGACAGGGGGCAAAAGAACTCACTCAAGTCCTTCCCTTGTGACAGGAGGACAGGAGGACAGGAGGACAGGAGGACAGGAAGACAGGCATTTGGATAAAGGGTGAGGGGCCTTCAAACCTCCCACGAGGCTTTGAGCAGAGTTCGGAGGCAGCTGGAGATTGGGTGAGTGCTGACTTGTGGGTAGGCCCTCTGCCCTACACTGAGTGAGATTGCTTCAGGCAGTCTCACTGCCAGGGCTGTGCACAAGCCGCCATGCGTTCGGGTCACTCCACGTCTCATGATTTGGAAGACATCCACCTCTCCTGCCTGTGGTTTCTTGGAGCCTCAAACCCCTACCCACTAGCCCTGCTGGACTGAGATGAGGCCATGGTGGGATCTTCTGCCCTAAATCCCTGGTGGCTCTGGTGTCTGGAGTCTCATCACTGTGAATAGATCCCTCGTGCCTTGGGGGCTTTTCAGCCCCCCACCTCCCATCCCCATAAAGACTCAGAGCAGGAGGAGCCTCTTTCTCTCCCATCAAGTCATTCTCCACTCCACAGTACTAATCTGAGCACCCTAAAATAGCCCCGCCCTGATTAAAAGGCTCCCATGCCCCCCGGCCCGGGATAAAGTCCTCTCTAGCCCAGCGCTTAGGCCTTCAGGAGCACTACCAGGAGAGTATCTGGTTCATAGCAGACACTCAGTGAATCTTCATTTACGGAAGGGAACTTCCCTCTGGGACCCGTGGACAGGTGTTGGGCACTTTTGCGAGAGACAGGGGCCGTGACTGTGGTGTGCACTGCTGTATTCCCAGGACCCAGCCCTGGGCCTGGCGTGCAGGGGGTGCCTGATAGATGTTTGTTGACTGACTGATTGAAGCTGGAACCAGAAATTCTTGGTGGGTCCCTTGGGAGCCACTTAGGGCTGCGGACAGGCTCAGGCATTGTTTTCCCCTCAGACCAGGGGCAGGGAGGCCTCTTCATCTCTGTCTGGGCCTCTTGGGCTTATTGGCAAGGGCATTAGGATGACAGAAGTCCTTGGGCACATTGAGTCCAACTTCCCTGTAGTGAAACTGAGGCTCAGGACAGGGAGGGCAATCCCAAGCAAGCGGAGCTGGCAGGTGAGTCCTGGAATCAACAGTTGTCAGTATGGGCTGTTGTCCTTGTATTATCTGCCTCCAGTGATGGAGAAACTAAGGCCAAGTGAGGGATGGGGCATGCCCAAGACTCATGGAGTCGGCGGGCAGAGTCTGGATTGGTTGTTGTCACTGTTATTATTACTGTGTGTTGTTATTTCCATTTTACAGAGGGTGGGAGAGAGTGGAGCCTTTCTGGGGATGGGTACCAGCCAAGGGAGCCAGAGGGGAGGATACCTCCGGCTTTGTTCCCCACCCCTGCCCTCCTCCCGCGCCAGGGAGCACCCAGCTCGCTCACCCGGACCCTGGGCCACGGCGCGCACCAGGCGCTGCACCGACTCCAGCAGCTGGCGCCGCTGCCGCTGC